CACACACACACCTACACACACACACACACACACACCTACACACACACACACACACACACACACACACACACAAATATATAATTTAACTTCGTATTCGGGCATTACATTGCGTTCTCCGCGTAATTTTGGCTAATTTTGGGTCATTGGTCATGAAAATCTTATTATTTATTTTGATTTGGACAATATTTAGTAACTTTTTGAAATATATTTTTAACTCCGCCTTGGACAACAACAAAGAAGCCGCCTTATGGGCAGGATCAGTTCTGTTCTAGTGCGGTAACTGTTTTGACATGCAAACAATTGACAGTGGGACAGGACAGTTCTGTCCGAGAAAAGATTGTTGTAGTGCGGTACTAGCCTAAGGCTGAGGATGCAATAATTGTTTTTAAAATTTTGGGCCCCATGTTTAATCCTCTGCGGCGGCAAATTTTTAAGTGATTATACGTCACAACACGCAGGCCCCACGATCTTGACAGCAGGCTCCACGAAGTCTGGGACAGCTTTGTCCTAATGCAGTAGGCAGTTATATTTCTCTATAATCACAGACGATATTACCCCGGGACTGGGATAGTCTTGTCCCATCGTATATTCACAACTGCTCGGGACTTAAATCGACAAGAATGTCCTGTCGTAATAGATGCGGTACATTACACTCTAATTCAAAGGTTTCAAAATCCAGACGGGTCTGTCCCAGGACAAACTGTCGTAGTGCGGTACTAGCCTAAGAGTATACATACATCTGGTGGTAGGTGGTAGTGTTTTTTGTGGGACAGTAGTTTATTTAGCGTGATCATTGATCGGGATAGTGTTTTTTTATTTTTTTTTAGCATACTTGAATAGTAATTTTTGCTTTAGAGGGATGTCATTGATATAACCAGAAACATTGATTTTGACGTGAAATATGGCCTATGCTATAAACACAAACGATAGTGGATGGTAGTGAATTAGGCGTGAGAAGCTGAAAATAGTAGGGTTTGCGGGATTGTACAGACTTCAACAAAAGTTAAGGACCACTTGCAAACACTCTGAGTTGTCTTCTTGGGTCGACCTGCTCGTGGTCGTTTTTGGACTGATCCAGTGGCGTAATGGTGCTGCCTCACGCGGACAAGGATAGAGTGTGACACTGCAAGCCTTCTGGCAACTTCTCGGGCTCCAACTCCATCCTGCAGCCATTCCATAGCTCTGGCGCAATCAAAGTCTCTCAGCTTTAGTCTTGATGGTATGTTGATGCGATACCGGATTTTGCGCAAACGGAGGCTTATATTGCCACCAAAGTGAGCACAGTTCGAGACCGTGCGTCCGTTTATGACGTGCACCAGAAATTTTAACTGAGGAACGTCCTTGGTATTGCACACAAGTCGATAAAAAAAACAGCAAATTTGGCCAAAATTCCCCAAGGATTTCCGGTCCTTTTGGAGGCTTTGCAGTACTCGTTGGTAACCCATTAACACTTTCAGAGCAAACATTTTAAAACATTCCTTGATGTCTTTTTTTTCGGATATTTTTAAAAAATAGGACTGTCTGTCAAAGTGGTCCCTAACTTTTGTTAATGTCTGTATGATACATATTGCCTAAGACTATACGTACATCTGGTGGTAGTGTTTTTTGCGGGACAGTAGGTTATTTAACATGAAAGTCTGAGCTATAAACACTACTGATAGTGCTTTAAGCGTTGCCAAAATGACTATGGTAGTTTTTGTTGCATAGAGTGATTTTGGCTTATTACACCGGTGCAACGCGGAATTTTTGAGAGAGCCATCGTCAAGAGAGGATTTTGATGTAGCAGCTAAGAACAGGTTCCAAGCGTTGGACACACTAGCGAGGAAAGCAGGGTGGAAGAAACATGGGAAGCAATAAAAGAAGGCTCGACCACTTGTGTGTCAAGAGGCACTGGGGAAACGGAAACATAAGCACACGCCGTGGATATCTGCCACCACTCTGAGTGAAATAGAGGACAGGGAAATTAAAAAGGATCAGGTAAACATGAGCAAGACAAGAGCAACCAAAGCAAAAGCCCAAGAAGAATACACCAAAGCA